CCTTCGAATCAATAAATAATTTTGTTAGCCACAATGGACCAAGTAATCAAACATGATTACTCATAGGCATACAGGTTGTTTTTCTTGGGGGGAGGGGTTGTATCATTTTTGCTCAAAAAATAAGATGGCAGCAACGGAAAAATGACCTACATAATTTTCTGAAACTCTGAACTCCGGTTGGGAATTGCATCACCCCCACATGCTGGTCAGTAAAAGTCCCAGATTTCGAGGGATGAAATATTTTTGACTTTTTTCCTTTTATATCCAGTAAAATTTTATTTTTTGGTTATCACTCCCGCCCCCAAAAAACACATTTTGCTCGACTGCAGCCCCTTCACCCAAAGGCTCTTATGACTATGGGATTACTTACTAATAATGATAAAACATTTTTCTAAGGAAAAGAGATCTCACCTGTAAGTGTTGTTTGTCTCAATGATTCCATTATTCCATACCAGGTGGATACTGTTTAACATCTTCTGTATTCAATCAACTTGTCCAACTTTCAAATATGTATAATAATGTCAGTAACTCAGTGTGCATACATAATCTATGTCAGTATTTGAGTATGCTGTATATGTTATGTCAGAATTCTGTGAGATTGATGTCTCCTGCCTCCATCCCAAAATAAATAGATGACACATTAATTGCACATTTATCTTTTTGTAAAGTATCAAACATTCAAACTGCTTATCTATACTTAGCCAAAGTAGAAAATGTTCATGATCGAACTTATTCAATGTATTGTGGTAGTGAACCTAAACTTCAAGTTTCATCATTATCACCCAATTAGAATCAAAGTCATTTTGTTCAATGTGTCAACTAATCAAATTGTTGCTACCAATCAAACTAAGTATCTCTATCCTTAGCAGAAAAGGCTCAGTCAAGGCATTCACACCATAAAATAAATAACAAATTTAAACTTTCTAGATAAATTAGAACCAAAAAGTGTGGACAGAGAGGTTAACCCATTTTAAAAGTCTCTTGCTTTCTTCTTAAGAGTATCATACTATAATTCCTTGATATGTCCAATTTTCTATTGGCCAGTCACAGCTCACGATATCCAGTTAATCGCAGCAGTTGCAAGCCTCAGTATCATTTGGTTAAAAAAAAAAAAGAAAAAAAGTGTAGAAGCTGGTTCATATGCAGAGATATTCAGTTCATGACTTTGTTTTTGTAGGTTAATCTTTGTATCATTTTTGACTTACACTGTTGACAGAACACAATATTGGTTACGTCTGAAGTTTGGCAATCAGTATATCTGTGTGGGTGTGTAATTTAAAACGAAGAAATATTTTCATCACAGAAAGCAAATCGTGATATAATATTTTATCAAATTAACACTTTCAGTTTTGTATGATCCCAATCAAACGGATTATGTCATTTTATATCAGGCGTCATGTGCTTCAATAAAACAATTTCTACCCTTCTTCAAAGGATTGATTTGACAGTATAATGAATATTAGTTCCTTTCGCTTTCAGAACGGTCTCTGAACGGATGAAGTCTTCTGACCATTCCTGTCCATCCTTATTAAGCTGCAATATGAATTAATGAAAATACTGCTCTACTTCCACCTCTGTTCTAAGGCTATTTTTTTTTTTTTTTAAGTACTGGTGTTCTACTATTTTTCACTGTAATTCTTCTTTGTAAGAAAAGGAATGATTTCTCACCACATCAGACATAAACATATAATAAACCAACAAGTTTTTCAAGAGAAATTTTGCGATTCAAAATCATAAACAAAAAGACCACATGCTGCTCAAGCGCTAGCCTTGTAATGGTTGACCAAATCAAACTTATTTTGTTCATGTTTTTGTAACACAAAATTCTACTTGAAAATAGTGTTGGGTTATTATAAATTTACATCAGATGTGGGAAATCATTCCTTTTAGCGAACAAATATCATTGGGAGGGGTAGACCAGTATTTTCATATTGAAGCTAAATAAGAACGCACAGGAAAGATTAAAGAGGAACTAAAGAAATATAAACATTTATTGTCACACCAATGAATCATGCCATCTTCAACTGAGAAAAGTGTGTTTGTCTTTCACCTGCAGATTCATTTTAATCTTCTCCAAGATGAACCCAACATGAAGAAGCTACATTTTTGTTTTACATTTCCTGCTGGAAATTCATATTAAATATTGTTTCAGTGCTGAAATGCCTATTAAAATTAAAGGAGAATTTTGCATGTAGCAGTTTTCATAGTGTTCACATTTTGGGAATTTTTGATTTTGACCTTTTTGTTTTAATATGCATATTTGGGAGTGAGTTGTGATAAGCAACTCAAGACCGATTTATTTTATTCCTTACCAGAAACAAAATGGTGGATGAATTTGAAGTTGGCTTTTTTTTTCAACCAATCCTGTCATTTAATGAAAAAAATAAAAAAAAAATAATGAAATTAATAATCATATTTAAATTTGGGCTTTTTTATGCAATGTCTTCAATGTGGAAATAACATTGGTTGAGCCACTAAAAATTAATTTGAAGTTGTTTAAAATGGTTATGTAGCCTAACTGGATATCAGTAAACGTCAAGTGCAAACTAAATGTACTCTGGCTTGTACAAATACATGACTTGGTCAACTGGTGCTACGCAACACACGATTCTTCCTCGAATCTACCATCTTAAAGACATTGCAAAATATAAATTCTGTTTACAAGAAGGATTTCTAAATGATAAGATCAAATTCAACTGTGTGATTTTACAGGCTTGACCATGTATCGTAGTACGCCACTGTAGTGATCTCATCTGTTCTTCCTTCTTATATACATCCAAGTGTTTTATTCAAGCAGGCAACAATTGTTTTCAAAAAGAAATTAACTACTTCTCTCCAAAATTCTGGTCAACAACATCAATACCAAAATTTTGAAGGGTCTACAAAGTTATGACCAAAACAAAAGGTTGGATAGAACTAGTTTTTTGCACATTTAATAGTGTTATCAACCTTGTGTTAGGGAAATATGTGTTAGATTATAGATATATGACTGGTGTATGATGACTTATATTAAATGTTTTCATTGTGAATCCATGTAAAATCCATATAGATAATCATACATCAGTACAAACACAAAATTAGCATACATGTCTTTCATACACCTATTTGCAGCACCAAAATAGGCAACAGTCTTGTTTCTTAGATTTAGATTGTGCTAAATGTTTGTTTTGATTATCTGAACCAATGTTAAAAGGATTCTACTGCAGGAAAATCTAAATTTCTCTGGGTATTTAATAAAACAATTTACTATTTGTAAAACACCCCAGCCCCAGTTTCATTAAGCCACGAAATTACAAATATCACAGTCAAGTATAATTGACATTATATTAAACTGCAAGTCAATTACTATCACCATTTAATGGAACAGGGACCATGGATTATCTTTTACAAATACAATGCAAGTAATGTGGTCCTCAAGTATATTTTTTTGTGCAATAGTGCCTAATGTGTTGCATTAATAGATGTTGTTAAAGAAACAAGTTCTCTCTCTTTCTTGTCCAAGTGGTTTATTGATACACTTACTAAAAAAAAATAATTAAGCTATGGTAATTTGAATAAATATCAGGCACCTAAATAGTTTCTTTTTCTTTTTTTTATTTCTCCAATATGACAGTTTGAATAAATATGTATGGTGAAATGTTTTATTTCATCTTAAATATTACTTAGGTGTGTAAACTTGTGTACCCTTAGTGTAGTTTCTATTTTGTCTCCAAGGTATTGTGAATTTTAAAAAAAAAACAAACAAAAACAAAAAAAACATAAGCATTTTTCTATTTCCAATTCAAACTGGAGATGTCCTTTAAAATAGGAAATGAAAGTAACTGAGCATGAACTTTCAATGTGAAGAGCAATGTGCATTTCAAATGGGATATACCGGTAATGTTAAAATCAACATTTTGGTATTTATGTTAAGAGAACATGGTCCTTTAAATAGTTAGACTTGTATTATTAGTTTTGATTTCAAGAAGTATCTGCACAATCAGACCTATTATCTATAAATGTTCTTTGACAAGACAGTTTGCTCTTGACTATGTGGGTAATAGCTTTGCACATAATTAACTTCCATAGTTTTATTCCTAAAACTATTGAAAGTTAAAGCATGGTATAAAGTTATTTTTGTATGTGTAGAAACAAAGAGGACTGATGTACTAATTCATGTATAGGTATTCATCATCAATGATTCCCATCTTGTTTATCTCAAAAATGAAGATTGGGGGGATTAATCGTCTCAATCACAACACCACATTTCTAGTTTCCTCTTTATCTCCCCCAACAAAATGAAATGAGACCATTTTATGATGCTAGATTATAGGTCTGGTTACTTTAACAGAAGAGGAAATAAGGGAGAATATCATTGGATTTTTGTTTATGGCTCGAACAGTAGCTAACTCAACCCCCATCCCCCATCTTTCCCCACCTCCTCTCAAATATTAGAAACCACCAATTCTATTGAAAAATAGAGTCTACTACTGTACTAGTGTGCTTATCCAAGCAGAATGACGCTGTGCAGACCGTCACTATGTTTGCAAAAGAAGTGGACACTATTCTTGTTGAGCAAAAATCCAATGATAAAGATGTCATTGGTCAACAGCAATAAAATTATCAAATTATTTAGGGCCGCTGTAACATTTTCTGAATACATGGTTGATAATCGACAGTGATTAAACTGTTCAAACACAATTTACTCATCTTGGACACATACCGGTATGCTATACACCTTCATTTCATGTTCCTGCGGCCCTGGACTTTATCAGGCACAGTGGTCTACGATGCAAACAATTAAAAGATCTCTTATTTCGTAGCTGAAGAATAATTACTAATTTTGATAGTTGAACAAGAAAGTCTGATTAAAAATATGTACAATTAAAATTTGTTACTCATTTGCATTGTACAGCACTGTTGTATCATATGTCAATTTTGAACTGAAAATCGACATATTTTAGACAGCTAAAAATCAATAGGTTTATGTAACTTTATGTTACACGATAAAACGAAAGAAAAATTTTGAATATATTTAATGTATCGACACCAAAGTTTTCAAGTTACGGTTTAACAAACATGAATACATAAAAGCAATATAAATGCGAGACAAGGAAATCATAAATGTATGAAATTTTTCTTTCGATCTATTTAGTACTAGCAATATAAAATCTAAAATAAAAACTTAACTGCACAGTTTCAAATTGTTTTTATGTAGGCTGTAGCTTGGATTCAAATTTTCATGGAAATAATTACTAATTACTAAGAGTATTGATTGGTACCTCGAAGCCAGGAGTAATGTATCCCGGCTCAACAAAAATTAATTAATTCTAATCTAAAAGCATGATTTAGATTTTATGAATCAACATCTCGAATTCAAATGCCGCCTAAAGCATGAATGAATGAAAATGTCACAACATATTCCTCTAAGCAGTGCACAACGATCGCGAATAGGACACTTAAGAGGAAGATGAATGGAAAAAAAATATAATTTGAATACAATTCATGTACTTTTCGTAGCATAAGCCGACCCAAATAACAATGATCACAGATCACAAAGTACCTACACTAATTAGCTAAGTAAATTAACTCCTGAAAAGGAAAACACTGATTATCAATTACTTTACTTCTGCAACAGTCTCCATAGCTTCATCACCATCCTTCTTATCTTTTTTCTCACCAGCAGCATCATCTACTTCACCACCAGCACTATTGGTTCGTCGTCGTTTTCTGGGATTAAAACGTTGTTTGTTAAATTTTGGTAATGGGGCAGGGTCCATACCAAGTACTTTATGAATCTGACGGAAAGCTATCAATCTTAGGGCATGTTGTGCAGAGGCAGTGATCTCTTCTCTCTGTTGATTGGTCAAGGATCCAGCAGCATCTGTTGGTTCTTTTTCACAAGGATCACACAGGCCTGGACCGCCAGGTAACAAGATGCCAGAAGCAATACATTCAAATACTCTTCTCAACCCATCACCAGGACTCAATACTTGTCCACCACTGCTTATACACTTCTCTACTAATAATTCTAACGCCCATTCACTCAATGGCGTCCAAGTTGGTACTCGCTGGCATAGATCACGCATAATACGAATTACTATTACACAGGATGGCAAACCATTGGCTCTAGCTTGGAACCACTTCGCATGTCGAAGAGCAGCCAGGGCTTCAAGACATTTATTCTTATCAAGAACGTCTGGAGGATCTTTGACAGCCGGTGTGCTGTCCCCATTTGTTGGGCTGGTCTCTCTCATTACAGGTGAAGACAGTGTAATAATGCAAGTTGTTTTGGGGTCTTCTTCACTTGTAACAATAATGGCAGCTTCTTCAACACAGCGTTTTACCTCAAATTTATTCTCAGGTATGGCAGCCAAATGTTTTGACAACCCATCTGCCACTCTCTCTAGTAATGTTCTAGTTGGCTTTTCAGAGCACAGGACAACCAAGTTGACTTTTAGATCTCCATGTAAAAGCAGGCCCTTAGCCAACACACCAACCCTCATCACTCCCTTCAAAGTTCTGTGAGATTGGGCTTCATCTGTTTGATTATCTTTTTCTTTATCATCTTTTCCATCTTTTTCTTTTTTGACAGTTCCAACATCAGGTTTAGGCGCATCACTTTCTGCCAGCAGGTCTGATACTTGTTTCAATGCTTTTTCACAGGTTGTGACCATGTTTTGAACAGCTTGTAATTCTACTTCTGTAGGATAGACAGTAGCGTGTTTGGCCATAACTCTTCTATCATCTGATGAATCAGGTCTACGCAGAGGCATGCCCATACCCATTCCTGGTCCGGGCATAAATGGGCGAGGAGGCATCATTCCAGGACGTCGACCATGAAATTCCATTTCGTAGTGTCTCTGCCAATACATATCTTCCTCCATTTCTCCTCTCCATCTTTCTTCTTGTTCTCGTCTCCTCCAAAATTCATCTTTGAATGATGGTCGATGTAAGCGATCTTCTTGGACTTTTCTAGCTCGAATACTTGGCTTGACTTCAACTTGAAGATTGGGGTCAACTTTCTTCTTGTACTGTAAACGATGTCTTCTACCTTTGAGATGCATTTCTTTAGCATTGGGATCATTAAATTTACATTCACACAGTTTGCAATTAAAGCTGACAACCTTTCCAAGATCATTTTTCATTTCTTCAATGTATTCATGGCCTACAGGTGAGACTTCCTTTTCACCCAAAATATTCAGCTCTTCTTCCATTGGTTTAGAAGATGACGTATCTCCAACTTCTGGTTTATTTTCAACTTTAATTTCTTCTGTCTTTACACCAGTTGTTTTCAATTGTGTTCCACCAACAAATGTTATCTTGGGTGTAGCTAGTACTTTCTTTGTACCTTGAGTAGCCGAGTTGACTACCTTACCAACAACAGTCTTGGTTGCTTGACTAGTTGTATTAATAGCCGTTTTGGCAGTAACAGTTGATGAACTATTACTTGTTATAACAACTGGATCATTTGACGGAATCGGTTTTCCCAAACGTGTATGGAGCTTCAGGACTTTTTGATGTTTGGTTCCACGGATATGGGCAGCATATGCATCAGTGCCTGTACAAGTGACATCACAAAGTTCACATCTCAACTGATTGTGTGAACGGGTAGAAGACGGGGCAGATCCAGCCTTTGCAGCACTTTCTTTCTTTTTGTGCTTTTGTCCTTCAAGATGTTCACGGTATGTTTGAGGTCCAGCACAACTAATCTTACAAACATCACAGTAGTGGAGCTGTGGCTGCTTTGGTGGTCCCTTGGCTTTCGTAAATTTATTTTGACTTTGTTTCTTTAATGCCCAATTGCTGGTCGTCTTTGCCGTTTGTTGCTGTTGGTAGTAACTAGTTGCAGCTGTGTAGAGCGCTGCATCATAACTAGTATTTGCGTTGTTATAAGAAGAGGCTCCAGAGTAACTTGTGGTTGCTTGACTTGTTGATGCTGGATAGACATACGATCCACTAGCTGTGGAGACTTGTACAGATTGTGGCTTTGCTGCTGCTTGTTGGCGGATAGCTGTAGCATTGTACGAGGAACTTGTACTGTATGATGGTTTTGCAGCTTGATAATGTGTCTCTGGTGTTGTGTACGTCGCTACTGCCTGGCCAGGCTGATAATAAGCTTTAGTCTGATCATATGCCACGGCGGGAGTTACAGCAACTGGTGTTCTAGTGGTATACGCATACTGTGGAGTTGCATGAGCTGCTTGATATGCAGTTTCATAAGCTTGTCCGGCCCGAGGAGCCGTGGCGTAGGCGGCTTGGGGAGCAGCTACATAAGCGGTTTGAGCCGTAGGATAACCTGATGCAGGTTGGGCAGTATTTGCCATAGGATATACAAAATGGGCCATCGTGTTTGTCGATGAAATTAACCCATATAACAGAAATATTTATCTGCGACTTTTCTTTCTTCTGTAACAAAACGTGCTGTCCAAGATGGCGTCAATGAAGAAAATGAAGCCGCAATGACGTCACGGAAATGGTTGACCTTGAACCCGTTCTTCTAATAAAAGGACTTGGATTCTCATCCGTCAATTTTTGTTAAGAAATTACGCTCATGTTTTAAATAACAGCGATTATAAAATCTGGGAAAACACGGTGACCCGAAAGTTCACTGAACGGTGCAATACGGTTAAATTTTGGGGTTAGTTTATGTAACCGTCTCTTCACTGTTTCCAAAGTTGAAAGAGCTGATAACACAACAAATAACACACTGATCAGCAGTGAATATTCGCTAGGCCGCGACAATCACTGATAAGGATGACATCGATGCGACTTAATGAGCCACAAATATTAACTTTTTTCATCAGACAAATTAAATTCTAAAACCTTTTTTTGATGTATTAGAGAAATAAATAAAGACGTTTTACGTATTTGTAGGTAAAACTTTTTTCTTATTTAGTTTAATGGATATTAAAATGGGTATTAAAATGGGTAAAAGACTCCATTCCGCCCGAACCAATAAAGTCTTATGTAAACAATGCACGCGCCATTGAGCCAATGATTGACGCCGCGTGATGAGATGTCACGTGTTGAAGGTACTCATCTTTTACAGAGATATTAGAAAACTTTCGTAATCCTCTGTGAAACAGATTGAACAAATAACTGTTCAAGTTTTCTCATATTTAAAAAAGACATAGACACCGAATAGTCGACCGGGATACCTCTTCCGGCGATAATTCACCTTTACTTCAAGCTCTGCAAGTACAAAAACAAAATCACAACACAGAGAACAATGCCATTAGTAAATGTGTACTAAAGTATTACAAATTCATACCTGGTCTATTCTGATTCTTACCCGAAGTGAAGTAGGGTATTTTATGGAACCTTGAAATAGACAGAAATGGTTCTAGAAGCACATATTAATGTAATATGAATGTAAGTAAAGTGATTCAGGGGCGGATCTAGGAATTTTGAAAATGGGGGGGGGGCCGCAAAATGAGGGCGCTGACCGCTGAGAGGGGATTTTTTTTGTGGGGGGGGGGGGTCCCCCAAGAAAATTATCCGTCATTTCCTTGCATCTGTAGCCATTCCAAGAGCTATTTGGCTGATATTTTCGTCTAAGTAAACGTTCGGAAATCGTTGAAAAAGAGCCTTAAAATCGAGCAAAAAAGGCAGTTGAACATGCGACTCGAAAATCGTCAAGGCGAGCGAGGCATTATGATGGGAAAAAAGACGAATCTATTCCCTAGCCACTTCACTATTTAAGCCTTGTAACTTGTACTTTGTACTGTCCACACATGAAACAATGCTACATCAAGCTGCACTCATGCGCGTCGGTGATTGGCACGAGTGTATACGCCGCCGATTCCACAAGATGTCTGTCTATAGTCACTCTATAGGATTAAGGCACCGTCAGCTAAACAACAAGAATTCGTTTGAAAGTGGAAGCATTAATTAGACCAGACTGGTGTGTTTGAGTCATTTGGGATCCCTGCAACGGGTTTGGAACGGACATATTTGGGTCTGACAAAAGGCACTTTCAGCAGTAAAAAGGGGCACTGTCGAAAATTAGGGGGGGGGGGGGCGCCCCTCGCGCCCCTCGCGCCCCCCTTGAATCCGCCTCTGTGATTTATATTCAATTTTTAAAAAAAGATATAACAATTTCTAATGAAGTATGTTCGCCTCATACTTTACGCACGTTTTTTTACATTAGTAATTTGTCGTTTGTGAATCAGCCCTGTACTAATTACTTCCACGTAGTAGTATATGATTTTATTTGTTCGTTACAAAATGGTACCCGAAACCATTGGGTACACGACTCGTGTACTGATTATATAAAATGTCAATTATGTCTTAAATATTGGATATTAGGATATATAGTTTTGTAGCAGTGCGAATCTTCGGTAATAAAAACACACTGGAATTATCCTTTAAACTGTTTAATACCGGAAAACATAAAATATCTGATTATCATATACACAGAACAGCACGTCCGACAGGCAGAGTGTCCGTCCTGGAAACAGGATAAAACCTAGAATCTTGAATCAATGTACAATTCGGTATTTAAAGAAGCTAGTATCTAAGGATTAAATTAAATATACACAATTAACGAATGTAGGTAACAATAAAACGATAAATTAAAGACAATAATAACAAATAATAGAAATAATAAGGATTAAGCTTATCGTACAGTCTAAACTATTAATGAGTTGGCTGTCCACCATCGGTTACCTTAGTTACAAGATTAATGGCTTCATGTATTAAAAGAAATCTATTGAAATTTAAATAAGTTATTAAAACAACACATATTCACAAGTTTATTGCCTCCCAGCTTGCTTTAAAAACGAAAAGTTAATAGGAAGATGGTGTTGTGTAAGTGAATTTAATTAAATAATTTATTAATGTTGAAATATATAACCTCTAATTAAAGATACATTATGGGGGAGTCGATAACGAGTTGGCAGTTCTCACTATAATAGTTAAAAACTAGATAATGTAAAGGCAATTTGCAGAAAATTGCTTTCAAATTGATCCACTATGAACCGAGAACTAAGCGGTTGAAATTTTCGGATAGCCTTGATCATCATTACTCAAGTCAGTACGATAAACAGCATAGTCTCGATTATCCATTTAATCGTTAAACCCTGAAGGAAAGTTATGCAGTAAATCGGTTTATAATCCACTAAAGATCACAGGCTAACGATGCCTCCTAGAGTTGATTATGGTCTGGATAGGTTAATTAATGTCTAATTAATAATTTAGATAACATTTTAGGCCTAAAGAAAGACCTGCAATAGGCAGATTTAGCTCTTGCATAATGCATGTTTAATATAGCATGATATAAACAGTACAATCCAATAATCTTAAAGTATGTACAGACGTAGCATGCATGCACCCGATACTGTACGTGGGCAGCAGGAAAATACATCATAATGTTAAATATTAGTTGAGGTCAAAAGTAGTGTTGGAGTAAATATTTATGACATAATCTAATACTTGTGTAACCTATTGTTCGGCACGAATATTCGAATATTCGCTCGTAGAATTTAATATTCAAATAGCAATCGGCATATTCGAATATTTACATTATTTATTCCATTTGCTCTCTAGTATTATTAAAGGCGACTTCCATTGCCACATTTACATTCAAAACTTACTTAAATTACCTAACTTCAGAGACACTTATTTGTTAAGTAGCTTGTTACATACTTGGGTTAGCCAGTAGTGCCGAGATGGAGTTGACTGTCTTGACTAATATCGCACCAAGGCTAATCTTTGGAACCACATGAAGCTGATACATGGCTACGTGGCAAGATTCAGCCAATTACAAAGTTCTACACACAGAAAGCGACCATATCTCCAGGCAACAGCAAGAAGTATGACAGAGATTCAGCGCAGCAAAAATACATCACGGAGAAATTGATCAAGTTTGTAGCCAAGCATCATCAGCCCTTTTCTCTTGTTGACAATTACTATTTTCGAGAATTCATCTTACAATTTACCGTCAAGTAAAACACTCAAACAAAGAATGGAAGAAATCTATGATGCCGTGCGTTCCGACGTACGTCAAATCAGGAATGACCCAAGTCAGAAGTTAGCCGCTGTGACCACAGATGTATGGACATCAGATGAACAAAATGAGTCTTATATTAGTTTAACCGCTCGTTTTGTATCACCAATTTGGGAGATGGTGACTAAGACTCTGGAAGTGAAATCATGTCCAGGTTCACATACATCGGATAAACTAAAAGAGCATTTGACGGAAATGCAGATAACTGGAGTATAGATAATACCGAATGTGGCCATGATCAGTGACAAATGAAATGAAATGGGGTTTAACGTTCTTCTGTTCAGCTCCGAACAGGGCTAATGAAGAAGGGGATGATCAGTGACGGTGAGTATAAGAATATAAAAAGGCTAACGCAGATATGGAATGGCAGAATACTCTTAGCTGTTTTGATCATATCCTTCTAAATGCTACTTTAACGGCATTAAAAGAAGATACCGTTCATGATATGTTATCTGCATGTCGAAAAATCGTTACTCGTTTCCGTCATTCAACACTGCAAACGCACAACCTCAAAATGGAAGCGGAGAAATCTTCTCAAACGTATCATAAGCTGAAACAAGAATGTCAACCAGAAGGGGTAGTACCTTTAAAATGCAACAGAGGATGATAGAAATGAAAAGGCCGGTCATCAACGTGCTCATGGAAATTAAGAAGAAAGAAACCAGGGAGCTAGTTCCCGTTGCTGAATTCTGGGTGAAAGCTAAATCAGTGTGTGACCACCTTGAGAGACTTCACATTATATCTGAACAGATGTGTAGAGAAACTCATTGTACGACGGTATCTACCATTGTGGTGAATTTACTTAGATTCGTTATGAAGAAACATGAAGAGACTGTTTTCTGCTTGAAAAAGCGACTAGGCGATGATGAAATGATGGAAACTGCTGCAGTACTATAGACCCATGAATGGAAGAGATGCCTTTCGTTTCGGGTGCAGCGCGGAAGAATTCCTATACGGTGCCTTGGTGATGGAAAAACGTGATGACAGTATGAACCTAGCTCACTTTCGCAGAATGGGGCCTTACGAACGTTGAGGTCCGTATCTACTTGTTGCGATGTCGTGGAAGGCAGTTTACGTAAAAGATCCACTGGCAATTACTAAAATATAATCTTGTGCATTGTTTACATGTCAACACGTATTTCATAATTGATTAGAAATTATAATAAATTGAATATAAACAACTTTAAATATATTCATATTAAAAATTGAAAATATTCGAATACTATTCGAATACAAATTTCAAGACCCGTCGAATATTCGAATAGTATTCTTGTTCGAATACTAACGCTTTTCCTTCCAATCAGATTGTTTTCCTTCCTAACATTTTCATTCAGCTGTAAATAAAATTACAAGATAGAGTCTCCGGACAACATTAGTGTTAGCCGAAACCATGGGCATCACACATGGGGGAGGGGTCAAACCCCCCCCCCCCCCAAATTGTTTTTCGGGGGTGGGTGGTCTGTATATACTTGGACCCCCCCCCCCCCAAAAAAAAACAAAAAAAAAATACATAGTAGGCCTTAACTCCTTTTTACTTACAACAATTATTAGGATTAGTTAAGATTCTATCTGTATAAAACAATGTACAAATTAAAACACAAACACTTATGTTTACTTTTTGAAATCCATTTATAACACACAAAAAATGTACAAAATACTTTAAATATCTATACAACTTTCTTGTAAATGTCAATGTGTATATGTATATAGTATTGTAGTTAACAAGGTGATTGTCAAACATGCATCCTCATAAACTAAAGTTATGTGATCAAGTTTTGTTTCATTTGGATCCTCCTCATAAAAATTCCCCTACTAAACTCTCTTTGTCATGTTGTTCATAACTCAAACGTAACCTTCAATATGTAAAAGTCATGAACAAATATGAATACGGCACCCCCTGACTTAAACATGATAAACATTGAATTGGTATGATGTTTTAGTTTAACCTCGTAAAATATGCCAAAATAGTGTTTACAGAAGACTGAAACTTTAATTTTTATTGGGGTGGCCCAATACCCCCCCCCCCCTCCAGTGGGAGGGTGACCCTCCCACGCTCTCCCTTTCGCGTCACAGATTGTCAACATTTTATTTAATTTCATTTGCGGATCCCCCCCCCCCCAATATATATTTCACGGCTACGCCTCTGACCGAAACAAATTCAAACGTGACTACCGCTTATCCCGCTTCGATAATTTCTGAATAATCTCAGATTTTGTGTGTTTGGTAAATTCTTGAAGGAATTTTAAGCTTGAATAATTATATCATGGACCTTATAAGGTCCATATTTCATAATTATAGTAGACGAACAATAATAGCATTTTATAAAAATTAGATAACACTTTACATTTTACTTTTGACCTCGATAAAGTGTTAACCCCGAGTAGATAGGGGTTCTGTCCTATTGTTGCCCATGTTAAAAAATGGGAAACCTCCCATGATGAGCTGATATTAAGTGAACACTAGAGAGTTTTGAGGTAAATAGTAAAGATTTAAATGGTTGTCTCACGAGGCTGAATCATGTAATTATCCACTAATATGTGACTTGGGTAAATAGAACAAACTAATTATTAAAAATGACCATGAGTTTCAATTTTAAAATTTCACACATTTTCCGAAGAAGAAAAAACAACCCCCACTTCTAATTGACGAGTTCACATAGGTCAAATATTAACGAATACATTAACCAAACAATAATAATAATAATAATAAAAACTTTATTTAATGAGGCAACGTATTTAGTTTGCAAAAAAAACAACTAATCTTCCATAGGTCCCTCCTAAACTACAAAGACATATATACATGTAATATCAGGATAAATTTAAAATCATTAGAAATGCAATGGCATTTTAAAGTGGGAAGTTTGATAAGTCACTCCCAAACTACAAAACATATACATTATACAAGTAGAATATAGGAAGAACACTATAATTACACACAAAATAAAATAGAATGCAGTTGCAAGTTAAAAATAATAAGTATGTCATCAGTTGAATATTATGGTTCCTTCAGTGTGCAAAATAAATGAGTTTTCAGTTTAATCTTAAAATTTTCAACATTTTTACACATCTTTATATCAAAAGGCAGATTGTTCCATAAAAGACATGCAGAATAATGAAAAGTACGTTTCATGGATTCCGTTTTGCATTTTTGAAGAAAAAGAGATTTACTGGTCTGTGAACGGAGCAAGATATCCGTTTTAGAAACAAGAGATTTTTCAATAAAATGGAAATTTAGATAAAGTGGAGTATTAAATGTAATAATTTTGAATGATAAGACAATTTTATTGTAAAGAATCCTATGTGTAAGGGTAAGCCAACCGAGTTTAGTAAATAAAGAGGTGGACGGAGTTTCAATCGGTGCATCAAGAATAGCTCTTGCTGCCCTCTTTTGTAATTTTAAAAGAATGTCTAATCTACTTTTGGTAGCATTTCCCCAAATAATAGAGCAATAATCAAATATTGGTAGTATGTAACTGTTATAAAACAAAATTCTTGTCTCGTAAGGTAAATGATCTTTTATCTTATTTAGGAGAAATATTTTTGATGCAAGTTTTTTAGACATATCTGCTATCTGTGCTTCCCAATTAAGATCTTGGTCAATTTGAATTCCAAGTAATTTTGCGGTAGTAACCGTCTCAATTTTCTCACCATGGAGTGATAAAGTTAGGTTTTTCTGATTTCTTTTGTGTTTTGTTGAAATCAGCATTGATTTTGTTTTCGAAGGATTGATTACCATCCCATTGTTTTCACACCATTTAGCAACCAAATAGAGATCATTTTGGAGATTTTTGGCGATGGATAAAATATCTTTGTGTGAACAATGCAGGGTACTGTCATCAGCAAACAAATCTATCTGACTTGATTCAATATTGAGTGGGAGATCATTTATAAAAATTAGGAATAGGAGAGGACCCAGGATCGAACCTTGTGGAACCCCGCATTTGACTGTAGTAATTGAGGAGGTAGTAGTTTTTCAATAATAAGCTTATGATCAATGAGATAACGGGTGTTCAAAATTTGTTTAAAAATCCATGCAAATTTTTGACTTTAGAAAATTCGTTATATTTTGCGAGGATAATGCGTGGGTAACGCATGGTAATGCCAATCTGTTTTACAGACCTGATGCGACGGCCAAGCGAATATTCACTGCGGATCAGTGTGGGCTAATGCGTGGGTAATCTGTTACTGAACAGATTTAGATAATTTAATTTTTAAATTTTCATCATAAATAGATTATAAGTTAATTGAATGGAAATCAGCAAAATATTAGAAAACAAAGCAAGATCGTGTGTCTATTGAAATTGTCAGGAAATTACAACCATCGAGATGATCCACATCAACAAATTAGACGTTAATTTACTCTTGGTCTCAAAAACAGTGACGTAGTACACACAAGTATTTGTCTCATCAGGAAAACAAAATACAGAAGTACGGTAACCTAGGTTTGTTGATAAAATTTAACCCAGTTTTCTTGGAATCTTAATTCGATAGACATAAATGTATTTTTATTTAAATGTATAAAGTTTATGACTTGTTGTTTAAATATGTAGTAAAGTGTGCTTATTATATTTGACGTTTGGTCATACAGAGATCGACAACATGTCAAGGATATCTCCGCCATTTTCTTTCCATTCTCTAACCAAAACATTGACCTCAAAAGCATAGCATCTCCATATTAATGCGCCCGATCGATTAGTTGTCGAATATGCATCATCAGAAAAATTCCAGTTTCAAACCTGTAATAGAATAGAACTTGAGAAGCATCACTAATTTACAAATAAATCAGTGGTAAGCACTGCCCTTTTTAGTGCAATTTATTGCCTTGAGTTGAATCATGCATATTTCATGTTATTGTTTATCAACTAAAATAAATGAAATGGCATCAGTAGTGCTGATCAAGTAAAAGTTGGTATAACTGACAATAGACATTAATATTAATTAATGCCATATTATAGTCTTGTTAAAATATTACAATTATCAGCCAGCGTATATTACATTACAATTACATACCGTACATAGCTTACATGTTTGCTTATTTCAAATATTTGTTCATATTGGATTTTTGTTTCTCCATGGACCTTATAATAAATTAAAAGGTCCACGGTCCTTCCTTAAAATCAGTTAAATATTTGTTTTAAGATAAATAACACTTGCATATTTTTGTTTTAAGGTTTTGTTTTATGAATTTTCTACATTAGTTTACACTTATTAACTCAAGGGATACCTGTTTCAGAATAATATACTGATACCGGTACCCAAACTATTAATAATTCAAAACATTCAACACAACAATCTAATATAATGTTTAAATATTGCTTGAGATCATACAGACGTAGACTTGGGTTGAATATCTCTCTCATGATTGGAAAATTGGGTGTACCAGTACTTAAAATTTTGGGGATATTCTTATATGAGCCTATAGAAAATGTATTTTACTGCAATATATACACATATGACCAAAGTGAGCTGGCTAGGTCTGGGTGGATGAACTGAAGTTTCTTAAACTAGTTGATTTTCTTCCGGCATTATTAGTATCTCTTTTTTTTTTTTTTCTTCCTGCATCTTCTAGATTTCAAAACATTATAATTTCAAGTTAAAACATTATGAAATAAAGAAGTAAGCTTATATATATATTAAATATTATCTAAAACCAATAATGCACCTTTCTTAATAAAATATGAAAGGATTATTAGGATAAGAATTTAAGTTTATTATTTGCGATTTCTCATGCTTTCCATATTTAGATCACTATTGGCAGAGATATGTATGTCTTCTATAAATATCCACAAAGAAGTCATCAATTATGCTAATAAGTTCTGCATGATTAATGATGTCACTGATCATTGACTTAGATTAGTAAGTACATTTCAGCTTTCTGTACGAATATCCTCTACATATTTACTTTGACTTTAATAATTGTTGTTTGTGCTATTCATTTCTAAGCAAAAAATGCTGTACAAGTTAAATAGATCCTTTATGACCCTTTCTTTAGTCACAGAATAATTGTCAAAGTAATAACAACTGAAAATAAAGATTTATATGTAATAAGATTACTACTTAATGATAAGCTTATAGAACGGGAAAAATGTGTCGAACCAAAATATGGTGGAGTTTCTCACAATTTTAACAGATATAGGGAAATTAGTAATTAACAAAAATTAAAATCCTTGGGAGACATGACATCTACATATACTTCGTTTACATGATTGCCGACAAGTTCTTATTAGATTTATTTATTGAAAGGATATTTATTCTGCAAGCAGTTTAATCTAAACATACATTATGCAAGAGCTAAATCTGTCAATTGCAGGTCTTTCTTTAGGCGTGAAATGTTATCTAAATTATTAATTAAGACATTAATTAACATATCCAGACCATAAACAACTCTCGATGTCATCGCTAGCCTGCAATATTTACTGGATTATAATCGCTCATTCATGATTAATGGATAATCGAGACTATGTTTTTTATCGTATCATGACCGACTTTAGTAATGATGATCGAGGCTAGGCCCAAAATTCAAATTCAATCACTAAATTCTTGGTTCAACAGAGTGAATTAATTTGACTGAAAACTTCAGCAAATTCAATTTACATTATCTACGGTAGTTTATAACTATTATAGTGGGAACTTTCAGCCCTTTATCTAATCTCCCATAATGTATCTTTAATAAAGTTGTCTGATAAAACTTTATAGGCCTATATTCCAAAATGATGATTTACACATCCACAGATTGTGTTTTTGAATAGATTAGTAAACTTTTGTAATGTGTGCTGAATACATGTATATCAATTTTTTTACTGTATAGTGTGTTGATTAAAACAATAAGCTTCCTGTGCTGTGTACTGAAAAGATAGATACTGGTACATATAGACATATCATGCTAATGCATTTCTATAATATTTTATTGAAGAGAAAATTAATTATGAATAACAAAACGAAAGTTAGCTTGATAAAAATGGTTTTTTCTTTGACTTGATGGTAAATGTTCATGCATAATACCACATTTAAATTCTGAATGAATGCACAATAAATACAGATTTTGAAATAATTGTACATCATGCAGTTGGCAATTATCTTTTCTTTTATATCCTTATTCTGTTTAATGATAAGGAACATTTTTCATTTACAGATTCAGTGGAAGTGAGACGTAAAAATGAGTAGACAAGTTCCAATGGGGGGTAAAGCCAGGGGCCTACCCCCTAATGGTAAGTTTTCGAATTTTTGGTCATTATAAAATCTTAGTGATGGACATGAAATATTTGAAAAAAAAAATCCATTTTTATACGCCCACATTTATACAAATCATTTAAATTATCGTCCTGGTTTAACTTTCTTGAACTTGTTGAACCTTGTGAACATTTGAATGACGAAAGTTATCATCTGATCTGTATGAAATTTATATGCATCATTTAAATTAGTGAAACGAAGAATCCTATTGAAGTTCACCAATTTCAAATAATTACTTGTAGAGTTATTGCCCTTGTTTCACCTTGTGAACACTCGAATGATTCAAGTTATCATCCAATCTGTATGAAATTTATATGCATTATTTAAATTATTGAAACAAAGAAGCTTATTTTATTTCAGCAATTTCCGCTAATTTCTTCTAAATTTATGGCCCTTGTTTTACTTTGTTGAACGCGCAAGCGAATTATGTAAATAAAATTAAACCATATGTTAGTCTCGAAATGACCTAGTATGTGTCGAGTGGACGTTAAACCCCATTTCTCTCTCTCTCTTTACTTTGTTGAACTTGTGAATGATCGAATGACAATCCGATCTGTATGAAATTTATTTGTATTATTTGAATTAGTAAATCGAAAAGGCCTGCCCATGTTTCAGTTTGTAAAACCTTGTGAACTCTCAAACGACGAAAATTATAATCTGATCTGTATGGAATAGTCTTGTAAATGCCCCAATTACATGTATCTACAAAATAATAAATGTGTGACAACCCTTGCCGACAGCAGGGGCAATTTAACTGCTGTAGGCATATTTTTCATTGCCTGACAACCTATCTTTTTGAATGGAAGCCAAATTACAAGTTAAAATGACATTTCTTTTTTCAGTATCGCTGGCCAACACCAGTAATCCAGATCTTGCTAGTTTATTTGAATGTCCAGTTTGTTTTGATTATGCACTACCTCCTATAATGCAGTGTCAGAGTGGTCATATTGTTTGCCAGTCTTGTCGTCAAAAATTACGTATGTGTCCAACATGTAGAGGAGAATTAGGTAAGATTCACAGATATCTATATTATTATCTTCATGATCTTACTCCAAAAAATTGAATAAATTTACTTTGCTTTATAGTGTATTTAAATTTATGGAGGGCCAACTCAAGGTTCAGAGTTTAACTTCAAGAAACTAAACTTTTACCCTTATAAAGAAAATGAATGGAGCCAATTAGAACAGACTCTGCCTTAAATTCAGAGACACTCAGATAACTATAATTCACTGTAACTGCTTTAGTTAAATAACTTAGTCAAAGTACCAGTAGTGATTTAGTTTTATCAGTCTTTCTATAAATATACTGAAATTCTTATTCGTTCTGTATTTATAATAGGTAATATTAGAAATCTAGCAATGGAAAAGGTGGCCTCAACTGTGATGTTTCCATGTAAATACTCTAATAATGGTTGTCAAAATACATTACTACACACAGAAAAAACAGAACACGAAGAAACTTGTGAATTCAGGTATAACTTACTTACTGTATTGTCTCATTGAAAATATCTCAGGTTTAGATTTGAAACCCAGATCCCCCTTTTTCAGAGGTAGTGCTTGCATTGTTATGAATGAGACGGTATGTATAGTAATTTGATCAAGATGACCCCTTGGTAGTTTTAAAATGAAGATAAAACAGCTATGTTTTGTTTGATAAATGTCTCATTTTGCTTGATTAAATGCATATAGTAATTAGTTGTTGCTGTTTACTTTCAGACCATATTGTTGTCCATGTCCTGGTGCCTCTTGTAAATGGCAAGGTTCTTTAGAACAAGTGATGCCACATTTACTACAGTCTCATAAATCTATTACAACATTACAAGGTAACCTGCATGTAGTCTTACTCTTGGTATCTTCTGTAATTGTCATGATAATCATTCCGAATAGGATGACTAATTGGTGATGATAACTATACTGAATAGGATGACTAATCATTCTCATCAAATTAGAAGAATTCTAAATTCACTGTAGTAGCCACTTGTACCCCCAAGCCTTCAACAACAGGCTCTTAATATGGGGTCATAAGTCAGTTTCGGCACAGTATTATTTATTACTAGTTGATTGTCATTTGCATTTTCGGGACACTCTAATTTTTCACAGCTTAATCCACAATGTACTAGCGACTCAATTCTGACCAGTTCCTTGTAGAATGATTTAAATTATTGTTTATAGTGGGATTTTATAAACAGCAGTGAAATGAAAAGTGTGATCGTGAATATAGATGGTATATGATTATGGGCCTGCAATCCTCTCCATTTACACTGCTGTCTTTCATGTTAATATGTGATGTAGAAATTAAGTCAAACATTTTTATACGCCCACATAGAAATGTGGACGTATATTGCCGTCGCCCCCGTCCGTCTATCCATCCATCATCCACAATTTCTTGTGAACGCTCTAAGACCAAAAGTTATCATCCAGTTGTTTTAAAATTGATATATGTTGTTTGCATTAGTGAGATGAAGAAGCCTAATTAATTTCAATAATTTCTCTTTATTACATCTAGAGTTATGGCCCTTGTTTCACTTTGTTGAGCCTTGTGAACGCTCTAATGCCAAAAGTTAACATCTGATCTTTGTGAAATTCATATGCAATATTTAAATTAGGGAAACGAAGAAGCCTATTGAATTTCAGCAATTTCTGTTTATTACTTCTAGAGTTATGGCCCTTGTTTCACTTTGTTTAACCTTGTGAACACTCTAACGACAAAAGTTATCATCCTATCTTTCAGAAATTTATATGCATTATTTGAATTAGTGAAACAAAGAATCCTATTGAATTTCAGCAATTTCCACTTATTACATCTAGAGTTATGGCCCTTATTTCACTTTATTGAACCTTTGAACGCTCTAACGCCAAAAGTTATCACCTAATCTTTGTAAAATTTATATGCATGATTTAAATTAGTTGAATGAAGAAGGCTATTTAATTTCAATAATTTCTGTTCATTACGTGGGGGGTTGGATGGCTGAATGGTTAGCGTGCGCACGCTGTATCATAAAGTCTGTCATTGAGTCAACTGGCATGGTTTCGAATCCCCAGTTGTACATGACAAGGAGTAGGGTCGCCTGTCCAACCTCATGGGTTTTCTCCGGGTCCTCCGGTTTCCTCCCACTGCTAAAGACCCCTATGCGCAAGCGAATTATTGAAATAAAATTAAACCATGTTAGTCCCGAAATGACCTAGTTGTGTCGAGTGGACGTTAAACCCCATTTCTCTCTCTCTCTCTCTCTCTCTCTCTCTGTTCATTACGTCTAGAGTTATGGATCTTGTTTCACTTTATTGAACCTTGTGAACGCTCTGACATGAAAAGTTATCTGCCGATCTGTATGAATTTTTCATGCATCATTTAAATTAGTACAGAGAAGAATCCTATTGAATTTCAGCAATTTCCATTTATTACTTCTAGAGTTATGGCCCTTGTTTCACTTTGTTCAAAATTGTTAATGCTTGATTGATGAAAGTTATCACCCGATATGTATGAAATTTATATGCATCATTTAAATTTCTGAAACAGAGGTCTATTGAATTTCAGCAATTTTCGTCAATAATTTCTAGAATTATGGCAGTTGTGAACCTTGTGAATGTTTGAATGACAAAAGTGATCATCTGATCTGTATTTAAATTAGTAAAACGAAAAAAGCCTGTCAAATTTCAACAATTTCTGTAGATTACTTCCAGAGTTTAGACCCGAATTACCTACAAAGGAATAAATATGCAACAATGTGGTCGTATATTGTCGTCGCCCCCGTCCGTCCTTCCATCCGTCTGTCGGTCCTTCGGTCCGGCGTCCACAATTGCTTGTGGACGCTCTAGAGGCGAAAGTAAATATCCATTTGACCTTAAATTTATACACAGTGTTTGAGATCATGAGACGAAGAAGCCTATTGATTTTCAACTATTTCCGATAATTACTGCCAGAGTTATGGCCCTTGATCACTTCAAAAAATCTTATGGAGGCTCTAAAGGCCAAATTTAATATTCGATTGACTTTAAATTTATACACAGTGTTTAAGGTCATGAGATGAAGAAGCTTATTGATATTCAGCGATTTCCAATATTTGCTGCCAGAGTTATGGCCCTTGATCACTTTGAAAAATCTTGTGGGCACTCTAGAGGCCAAAGTTAATATCTGATTGACTTTCAATTTATACACAGTAGTGTTTAAGGTCATGAGACGAAGAAGCCTATTGATTTTCAGCGATTTCCGATAATTACTGACAGAGTTATGGCCCTTGATCACTTCAAAAAATCTTGTGGATGCTCTAGAGGCTAAAGTTAATATCCGATTGAGTTTAAATTTATACACAGTGTTTGAGGTCATGAGACATGGATTCCTATTGATTTTCAACGATTTCCAATAATTACTGCCAAAGTTGTGGCCCTTGATCACTTCGCAAAATCTTGTGACGCTCTAAAGGCTAAAGTTATCATCCGATTGACTTCAGATTGATACACAGAGTTTAAGATCTTGAGACGAACAAGTGTATTGATTTAAATGAAGTTTTATGACTTGAACAGTTAAATCCATGATATTAAAAGCTTTGCATACAAAAAGTTAGCATGGGGCAGAACTTTATAAAAACCAAACAAATTCTAATAGTTTTCTGATAATTACTTCGAGAGTTGTTGCTCTTAATCAGATTTTAGTGTATTATAAATGTTTCATTACCGAAAAAAGTAAAAATATGCGACAACCCTTGTTGACTGCCCGGGCGAATTAGTTGCTGTGGGCGTATGTTTCGTTGCCTGGCAACTTATCTTTTTTTAATGAAAATTGTTTTTCTTTTATTTCATAAGGAGAGGATATAGTATTTTTAGCAACAGATATTAATCTGCCAGGTGCAGTAGACTGGGTTATGATGCAGTCCTGTTTTGGTCACAATTTTATGCTAGTCTTAGAAAAACAAGAAAAAATAGATGGACTACAACTTTTTTATGCTATTGTTCAGTTGATTGGAACGAGAAAGCAAGCAGAAAATTTTGCTTATAGGTAAAGTATTTGTTGTGTGATTATACAACTTTTTTATGCCATTGTTCAGTTGATTGGAACGAGAAAGCAAGCAGAAAATTTTGCTTATTCGTGGAGTATTTGTTGTTTGATTATACAGTAGAATCTGTATGAGCAGCCACTCCTATTCAGCGACATCTCCTTGTAAGCGGTCACGATAAATTCCCCCCGTAGAAATTCTGTTGTTTCATCTCTTTATTCAACGGTCACTCCTCTAACGCGGCCAGCGGTCACTATTTTACTAATAAATTCAACAAAACATCGCCCATTCAACGGCCATTGTTGAATGATACCATCTTGTCGTTCTTTGTAACACCCCCGCTAATCCCGTGAGTAGTAGTTAATTAACTGGACCCCCACTGATCAGGTAAAAAGAAATGTAAACATAACAATCAACCCGGGATTATCTGTTAATTAATCTTTTGTTTTATTAAACGACTAACCTGATCATTGTTTTCACGCGTAACGACACATTATTTGATACTGATTGAATAAAATAAAAGTACCGAGTTTTGTCACGATCATCTAATATCTCTCTTAGCGCCTCCTATAATATTACATACAGAGTTACACCCCCTGTAAATAGGAGATAAAATTAGCGATGTTTTTTGTTCATGTGCTTTTTTGATAAAATAAAATGAATTCATCGATTTTCTTCACAAAAATGGATAAATATTATCGAATGCATCACAATGGTAGACAGTAGTATCGAAGGTTGGTACAAAATGACAAGTTTACAGAAGTTATGTCCGAGATTTGAGTAAAGAATTTTCGTCCGGCGCAAGATTCAGCGACGGCCAAATTTACCGCTTCCAATGCATCCAAGCGTAATATTTAATTTATGTCGGCACAAAAAGCAACAAGATTTTATTAAGAGGCCACTCCCGTTAAGTTATGTCCGAGATTTGAGTAAAGAATTATCGTTCGGCGCAAGATTCAGCGACGGCCAAATTTACCGCTTCCAATGCATCCAAGAGTAATATTTAATTTATGTCGGCACAAAAAGCAACGAGATTTTATTAAGAGGCCACTCCCGTTAAGCGGTCAGTTGTGAAAATTCCCTTGGGTGGCTGCTTAATACAGATTCTACTGTATTTCTAATCAAGGAAATGATTTATACTGGGGTGTTCTTAGTCCAAATGTGTGATTCTTTCCTTAGTCTTTTGATGGCTAGTGTAATGAGATAGTCAGAAAGATACATGTATGGCCTTTTTTTAATAAACGTTTCAAAGGTTAGAAGATACAGGTAGGGTGCCCCACCATAAATAAATATCTCCAAATATCTCGACAATTACACCACAATATTTATATTTATACCAATCCTTAAATCTGTTTGGCACATTTATAGTCACTAAATAAACGGCCATGTTGTACTTAATAAGCTATGACCATTTAGTCATCCATAAATAATACGCTGAAAGATGGTTCCGAGTGTCGGCCATAACATCCGAGCACGTGTGAGTAAAAAATAGGTTACGTGTCCTTGTTTTAAAAGTAGTCTCGCTTAACCAGTATACCGACCATTCTACGTTTGATTAACAGGCCGGGAAAATCAAGAATACTTTTTTACGAAACATAACAGAAAGTTGGAACAATAAATTGAATTTAGAAACACACACGTTGGGCAACTCAACAATTGTTTTAAAAACCCTGTAAAAGTAAAATGAAACTACTGCTAGTATCATGTTCTTGCCTAATGCAAGTATTTCAGAGATATTATTTGTACTAAACCAAAAAATGCAGGTCCTAATGGTACAGTTAATGATAAAGCAATTTAAAAAATAAAACGAACATAATTTCTAAAGCTGCTGTAATAACTAATAAGCTAAATATTACTGCTATTCAGAATCGTCAACAATAGATTTTTTTACGGCTGTAATAGTTGATAGATGTGTAGAGAATTGCATGTGCGATGGCTATTTATAGTATCATAGACTCTAGCTCTGACTGTTATCATAGTGTGTAGTGAATGCGAGAAATCACTTCAAGATAAGCCACTGAAGTGTGTACATTCTCCGTGTCGAGACCAACTCTCTGCACGGTGCATGTGTCACCCTAATACTGGAGGATTTTATTCCTAACATAACTTATAATATATAATATAAAAATATAAAAGCTTTATCATTTACCTTTTAAAAGATGACCTGTTTATAAAATACCTGCCAGATATCGATATTTCTAAAAAATTTTGTCATTGCCAACAAATGATATGGGAAGCCTAAAAATCAGACACCACTCGCAGACATGTCATTGTCTGGCAAGAATTCAGCCATAATTATTATTTCCCAGAGGTGGGAACAATTTGCCAGTCTGAGTCGAGTCCCAGTACTTTAGTACTGAGTTGAGTCCCAAATCTTCATAAATCCTTTTCAATAATAAGTTATGTCCCCGCACCGCAACTGGACTCTTTAGTTCCTACAAGTTGTGATTTATCACGACTACAAGTCCAAGTTGCTATAAATATTTCAAGTCGAGTCGCAAGTTGGGTCTTTGATGCAACTTAAGTCACAATTGAGCCCAAGTCGCAGGACTCGAGTTCCCACCTGGATATGGGTAAGAGGGACTTCTGACATACAAGTAGTAGAAAGATTTGACATACATATTTGTAAAGGTTAAGCTTTCAATCAATGTATAACAGGTGTTTCAAAGACTTTGAAAGTTTTGGAAAACTGACAGAAAACAGGATTCTGTTTCACTAATGATCCCCCCTTATCTCACTCACTGTCACTTAGCTGCCGGCCCTCAAAATAACCGTATGAAAAGCTTTGGAAAGAGTCAGACATTTCTCTGATAATCTACAAAAGTGCAACTGAAATTGTTAAAGTAGAGGTATTTTGGATATCTTTGGAAAAAGATTGAATATATTATGACCCACAAGTTTGATTAATTAACTTATATTATATTTTCCAGGTTAGAATTAAATGGTCATAGACGTCGACTGACATGGGAGGCCACCCCAAGGAGCATTCATGATGGAATTCAGTCTGCAATTTTAAGTAGTGATTGTCTTGTTTTTGACACAAATATTGCCCAACTATTTGCGGATCATGGAAACTTAGGCATAAATGTGACAATATCAGTTTGTGAAAGATGAATGTATAATTCAAATTGAAAAAAACTATCTCAATTGTAAATTATTGAATTGTATTTAATTATTGATCCTTGATATATTAAGTCTGGTAAAATCGTTATCACCTCATCCATTCATACGGAGCTCTTTACATTATCAAGATTATGTTCATTGGCTTTTTAGATTATTTAATTGATTGTATAATAAAATGGAATTTATTTAATATAATGTGAAGAAATTTCTGTATAAAATCACATTTTGATTTGAAGGATTCCTACGAATTGCTTTTGTTATTTTGTAGGCCTGCTTATTTTGAATTTACATTTAAATATGGTAATTCAGTTTGAAATATTATAAACAGAATGCTTTATTTTTGCATCAAGAAGTGGATAAATGGGAGTTACTAATTTTCTAAAAGTATCCTTGCCAAAAAAAAGAATGTAAATAAAAAAAAAGAGTGTTATTTATCGGATTACCATGATAATGAGATGTCTGTTTTAATGGCAATTTTAGCTACCGGTATTGTCATTTGTTTATATTTTATTCATTCTCTAATATTAGAATAATTTTAAAAATGCATAACCTAAAGTACAAATCATTTCAACATTAATATAGTAAGTTCAGTACCTGGCTGTGATCATTGTGATGTCATAAGAGTAACTGTCAGTATTTATAAACAAAATCATATGCTATAATAGCTACTCTCCATAAACATGTGGCTGTGGGAATACACAATAAGAAATTCGTTCATGCAGCTATCTGTTTACAAACTGTGACAGAGCCACTATGGGTCAGGGAGTAAGACCTTTGCTCGCTAACCTAGAAGTCGTTTGTTCGGTCCTAGTGTTGGCTGAGCAAGTTCATCGTGAATAAACAAGGTCCCATGTTTTGATTGGCGTGCACATAAAAGAACCCTCGACAGTTGGAATTCAAAATAAAAGTAGGCCACAGTGCCGCTGTCTGTGCCAATTTCCCCTCATATTACGATTTCCTAATTAATTTTGAAATATTTGTATTTCTGATTATGCTTTTTGGAAACTAATTTGATATTAGTCAATGAATGAAACATTAATAAATCGACTAGAGAAAATGTTTGAGACTGTCATTTCAGTACTACTTAAGATCTGTAATCATCTTGAGTATTATATTGTATTGTTAAGAATTTATTTATACATAAGTTGCTATTAAAACCAATTTTATAATACATAGTACTTAGGCTGACCTTAAAAATATCTTTGTTTCACCAAACCCGACCCACAATCGAGGAGAAGGGTCGGTAGGTCGGGTTTTTTTCAGATTTTTTTTTTTAAGAGCTAATTTGACAGCTTGATAATTTTCCGGGTGCAAACATTCGTCTTCTTTTATTGGCAAACAAATCAGTGACATCGGGATTTTTCTTGATGCACGACTCGCACACAAATTGCGACAAACTCACGTTTGAAACTCCCTCAACACGTTTTTAACGATCGTGCGGGTTGTGCCTTTATTTTTCTCGAAAACGGATATTGAAAATATCGTCGTCATGTTTAAAACGACGCCCCACAGACATAGAGGCAGAATCATTTCGTGGGAATGGACGTGCTTTCGTCTGCAACCATTTTGTTGAGAAGCGACACCTATGACGCTTTCGTCTTGATCAACCAGTTTCAATAATGAATCAAACCATAGCCATAGTAAAGGGAAATAACTCTCGTGATATATTTCAGGTTGACACACAAAATAAAATAAAATAAAAAGATCGCGGAAAAGTGCAATAAAATAATTTAAGTCGGGGGTGGTTTTAGTTAGTCGGTCGCGTTAGGCGAAACAAAGATATTTTTAAGGTCAGCCTTACATAGTAATTTCCTGGACAACATTCAGTATACTATAAAATGTTTTCTAGATGAAACTAAATGTTTGAAGTACATATCTTACTATGTCTTACCTCTCTATATCAGAAACCAATAGATGATTAATTCTGTATTCATTACTGGTTATGATTACATTTCTACATATAATGTAATGAAGTCATTATAAAAATATTAGTAACTAATGACCTTGACCATTATACTTAAAAGGTGAAAATACAAGTTGCATATTCAATAATTTGGCTGTGTGCAAACAACAGGATAAAAAATACAAGTTTAAGCAAACATAGACTTACCCATTGTCTCATACAAATGTGGGATCTAACTATAGTTTATGCATAGATGACATATTTTAACTTTAAAGTCTCTGTGCATCATTACGTTTTTCAGAAAGTATCAAATTTTCATAAGCTTAATGTACACAATTTAACATTTATTTAAGAGAACATTATCTTATGTTTTGGACTTGGTCGGATTAAAAGAGGTCCATTAAAAGATTTTTAGCAAAGATTAAAGGTGGCACTGGCCTTCGACCACATGTCTTTGATCTGCAGTGGAAGATTAATGTGTAGGAAATTTTCAATTCATCACATCTTTGCAAATACTGAAGGGAATTAAACTATTTTTTGACTGATATTCCTTTTGGAGATTAAACTTTCACAGTGTAGTTTGCAAGGTATTCCTCAATGACTCGAATGACATTCAGAGACTTTAAAGGTTGAAAAAATATCTAAATCCTACAATAGCAATTTGGTTAAAAAATCAAACTTTATGCTTACAAGGTGTTACTTTAGATTCTCATATTTACGAGCAGAAATGGATACAGCATTAACATTGGAATGTTATAACATTTGATAATGCTAATATTGAAATCTAGTCGAATTTCTCTACCTGGACTTCAAAACATTCTCAACCATGATTATTCTATGAATATCATAAATGGAATATTGAAAACTTTTGAATTAATTCATTGTAATTGTGTTTAATTTGAATTAATATCTGACATGGTGTTACTTATGTCATTTGTATATAAAACTGTAAATATATGTGTACTATAGTAATAATTAAAAGATATATAATTTGTACATTATTATATTACTGGCATTACAAAAATTATTTATTATTGCACTTAAGTTAACCTCCCTATTCAGAGAAACCATCATTCCTTTCCACCTGAGTGAGGGCTTTTCTATTTGCTAACTTTAAATTAAAGTTGATAAATACAGCTCTTCAGGGCTTAAGCAAGAGACACACTAGCCGGATCATTCGGCTGAATCACTCGCTGCCGAATTGCAGCCAAATGCATTCGGCCTATTGAGTGGACACACTTGGCAAATTCTTTGCCTGATTCACTAGTCAATTGCATCACCATTGACTTGGCGAATTCTTTACCCGATTCATTAGTCGATTGCATCCCCATTCACATAATAAGTCACATGATTAAACATGACAGCGACCAAGAAAAAGACAAAAATAGCTGCAGCGGTGGGAATTTTGAATTTTATGCCATATTCATCGGTGTAGAAAGAGGTGGGAGAATGGGTGGTGACTGAGCAAAAACCTGGATTCTTGGAATTTCATGTTTCAGTGATAGTCGCCATTTTGATTCGAGCGGATCATTTGGCATCGGGACACACTAGGTGAATATCGTCGGCGACTGATTCAGCTGAGTAATTCTGCTAGTGTTTCCACTGCTTAATGAACTCAAAGGTCATTTCTGAATATAGTGAATTAACTGTTGACCACAAAGTACTTTTATCAAAAAACATTTTGTTCAAAATGATATTCAAATGGATCAGTTCTAACTAATGTTATGGCTCCAGTGCCATCTTTATATATTCAAGATAAATATAGTTTTAATAATTCTATCTTTTTCATGCAAGCCAGCCTGTTCTTAATAAAGGAGTTCTTATACTGGATTTGCTTAATTTCATAATAACTGTCTTTACAGTAAAATAGTACATATTTTTGACATTTGAGATATAATATGTTAAAGATCTGGCTTGTTGTGCCTTTTATGAATGTTCCATGATTGAGGAGCCTTTTGATATGGGAGTTATTTTCCATCTCCATAAGTCAATTGAGGTTGTATACTGTTGTCATCTAATCCATTACTCAGTTCGTCCGTAAATTCTTCTAATTGCATGTTTTATGGACCACAATTTACAAACTAATTTTGCTACGATTGTTTGGTCATAAATCAGAAATACTATTGAAATTTGAGGTCATGAGATAATTGCAAAATTACGAAAAGTCTGCTGTTGTGGATGGAAATTTTACATTCTATATATTCCTTTTTGAATAGTCCTTTCAATAGCTCTATAATAAATAAGAACTATTCTGATGCACAACTGATTTTTATTGTGTATTTATTTGGTGTGCTAACTACTTCTATCTTTTATTTTAAGTGACCGACATAACAAATATGCTTTTCTATGTTACGAACATAATTTGGTGAGGCCCCTTCTTCCACACCCCTCATCCACCCCCCACAGATGTTTTTACCCTATGTCAAGGGTTAACTGGTTAGCATCCTCATTAATTTTCATCACAGGTAACTTAAAAAAGTTTTCCATCAGAGATTGTCCTATTTGAGGTCATTGGACCTAAACCTAATGCTAATTAGAGCATAGAGATTCAGAAAAGAGAAAGTGTGGTAGAGGTTATGAAATATGGTTATATTTTACATAAAGAAAGGATGACTGACAACTGTGACTAATGATATATCTTTGGCCAGTAACATATATCAGATGGCCAAGAATAAAAACAAGTACACTATATAAAGTGGAATAATTCAAAAAGTATTGTACATATATCATTAACATTTGATGTGACTTCTCAGTTCAGCAAAACATAATTTGACATTTTTTCTTAAAACTTGTGCTATGGTAACACTATTTTAGGACTGGACCTGCAAGTTGGAATGAAGTTGTCAAACATTCATATTGTACCACAATACTGTTTTAATTATTCCACTTTAAATAATGTACTCGTTTTTATGCACCCTCGTATATTGTCCTCGTCAGCCCCGTCCGTCCACAATTGCTTGTGGACGCTCTAGAGGCTAAAATTAATATCTGATTGACTTTAAATTTATACCCAGTGTTTACGGTCATGAGACGAAGAAGACTATTGATTTTCAACGATTTCCGATAATTACTACTAGAGTTATGGTCCTTGATCACTTTGAAATATCTTGTGGACGCTCAAGAGGCTAAAGTTAATATCCGATCGACTTTAAATTTATACACAGTGTTTAAGGTCGTGAGACGACAAAGCCCAGTGATTTTCAATGATTTCCGATAATTACTAACAGAGTTATGGCCCTTGATCACTTTGAAAAATCTTGTGGATGCTCCAGAGACCAAAGTTATCATCCGATTGACTTTAGATTGATAAACAGAGTATAAGGTCTTGAGACAAACAAGTATATTGATTTTCAATGAATTTTGATAATTTGAACAGCTAAATTCATGATATTAAATGTTACGTATACTAAACGTTAGCATGGGGCAGAACTAAAAGCCAAACAAATTCTAATGATTTTCTGATAATTACTTAATAAGTTGTTACTCTTAATTAGATTTTAGTGTATTATAAATGTTTCATTACCGACAATAGAAAAAATATGCGACAACTCTTATTGACTGCTCGGACGACTTAGCTGCTGTGGGCATATGTGTCGTGGCTGGCAACCTATCTTTTTCTGGGCCACCCGATACCCTAGTAGTTACGACACAAAACGTATTTATACAACAGTGGTGGGTGTAGCTATATTAAAGGAAACACTGTGAGGAGTAAGAGTAGGCCTATACACTTTCTATCATGAAATTCTCTGTCGTGTAAAGAGCCAAATTTCTTTGGCTCAATACATTTCTTGATGGTCCTTAAGTTCAAGCAAATTTAAAACACATTTATATGACACAACTCTATCAAATAGGAACTTTCCTTGCTTTTTCAGGTGCAAAGTTGTATATTTCACTTTCTTACCTGCAAAAAATATCACCATTATGAAAGGAATTTGGACAAAAGAAAAATGAAAATAGGTGTGACCAATACATATTAGAACAGTCAGGGTTTTGTTTGGATTGGAAATAAATTACAGAAATTAACTATCATAATCTTGAGCCATAAATTTTAAATGTGAAAATCCCTGTAGGTAGTAAAGAATCTTGCTCTTACAATGTTACTGGAGTGCCCTTATGGGAATTCTGATAAAATAATGTTAGGTAATAAACCCTGTGTTTTGTATTTATCATTCTTTGTGCTAACCGGTTCAATTGTTTTCAAATTTTATTCGGAAAATATAGATCATTATTTGTAAAACAGCATTTTGGTTAATTTTATCCATAATTATATTGTAAGTTTAGAGTAGGCAATCATATACATGTATTATGTGGTTTATTTTATTTTTTTATTATTTGGGTATGAAAGTTCAAAATTGTTTGGCAGAGTGTTTTTTGAATGTAGACATTTGTTGTCTAAAGTATGAATAGACCTATACATAAACATATATACAGTCCTGTAACACTGATTGTTTCATATTTCCAGTGTAGATATTGATTCTAATAAATAATTTTTGTTAAACATTGACTTATAGTTGTATTTATGTTATAATACCTAGTTACTGAACCGTCCGTAACCATGGGCCAAGATTAAAATATGAATGAAGAGGTATTCTATCAATAGAAGGGGGAAATAAATCTGTACATATTGTGGTTATTATATTAATTGTGCTAATCTCATTTGTATTAACAGCTTGGATTCAATACTGCGAGATTTCTACAACTGTTACCAATGAGGTAACTATAGACAATTATGGTCAGACAGTCCAGACGATGTGGGCAACGTCATAACAATATTACCCAGCAAGCCCCAAATGTAAACATCTAAAAATAGCTTGCGCTTGAAGCGGTTATGTTGACGTTGAACCCGTTATTTATATTATTGGACGGTGAATGAAAATCTGTTCATTTTGGAGAAATTTTGAAATAATTAGCGGAGAGAAATACATACATTCAAACTGTTGAATCAGGGGATGGCTATGTTTAAGTTTTTGAGTGCGGTAAGAAGCCATTTACCAGTTGAGGAAATTGAACTATATCGGATAGGAGCTGTGTCGTGCGATGAGGAATATATGGATATTATAGAAGCTGAAGATATATTATATCCGCCGTTAGAAGCGTTGCGATTTGCAATCATGTATAGTCATTTAGAATATGCAAGATTTCTGTTACAGAATTACGGGGCAGCTGTCTTGCAAAAAAATCTATGTTGCCCACTGCTGTTGTTGGCCGTACGCTTGAATGACGAGCCAATGGTGATTCTTATTTGTCAATACAGTGCTTTGATAACCGAGAAAACTCGCATAAATTATCTGGATTCACAGGGTTGTGAATTAATGGAAAACGGAAAAACTGCATTGCATGCGGCCGCAGAATTGGGACTTTTAGGCTGTACAAGGATACTTTTGCAACATGGTGCAGATCACACACAAAAGGATTGCGAAGGGTTAACGCCTTTGCACAGAGCTCTTCAAAAGTTCAAGGCATCTTACAATGTATTTTTGTGTGTTATGGAACTACTGAAGTGTGAAAGACAAATTCACGGAGATATTATCCCAAAAATACAAGCTTTGCATAAATTACATCATGCGAAACATAATTGCACTCAATGTGGTAACGTGCCGTCATCGCCTCAACCAACGTCATTATTAAAACTGTCACGTTGCTCAATGTTAAGTTTATTAGGTCCCCGAATATCTCTAGCTATTCCCATATTAAAATTACTTTTACCGGTGCCGGTATTAAAATATGTTAGTCTTGAAGGTGATGACTAATTTATATGGGTTAGGAATAATTTCTAAACAACTTTTAATAGTGATTATAGAGTTTATGCCAAATAATAATATTATTGTCGAGGCATTATTCTTATTAATATACACAATGTATTTTGATATCTACATATTCGTTGCAATGTAATATACAAATTCTCAGGGATATCGTTTTTTTATTATTGTTATTTTGAGCATTATGACGTATATGGTGGCCCATGGTCGCAATAGCGTTTTTTTGGTTATTTTTTTTGTATTTCATTTAAAATAATAAAAATATTAGTAAAAAAAAAAAGAAACATTTTTTTGTTTTGTTTTACAAAATAAAAAAAAATAATCTTTTAAAAATTTAAAAAAAAAAATCTTTATAAAAAATTAAAAAAAAAAAATCTTTTTAAAAAATTTAAAAAAAAAAATCTTTTTAAAAAATTTAAAAAAAAAAATCTTTTTAAAAAATTTAAAAAATTAAAAAAAAAAAAATCTTTTTAAAAAATTTAAAAAAAAAAAAATCTTTTTAAAAAATTTAAAAAAAAAAAATCTTTTTAAAATGAAATAAAAAATCTATATATATATAAAAAAAAATAATAAAATATATTTTAAAAAAATAAAAAATAAATAATATTAAAAAAAAAATTAAATGAAAAAAAAAAAAAAAAATTGAAAAAGAAAAGATAAAAAATAATTCCCGACGTGGCCCATCGTCGCAATAGTGTCTTGAGTATCCAGACCCAGTATACAGCTATCATTAGACTAGAGCGACCAGAAACATTTTGTGGCCCATTGTTGCAGTAGTATCTCGATTATTATGTGTGGGATATATGAAGAACGTATAAACTCGAACGACAAGAAACGAGTCTGTAGTTATCTCACGTCAACATAATTGTAGATACTTCAATTTTGATTAGCTAAGCACTAAAATAAATCTAATATTATCTATTTATCCAATCAAATACTAAAATTTGAATTTTATCTTAGTAAAACAGGCCCCAGACGAAGTCCGCGTAGGCTATCATGCTCTATTTAAATTTTGTCTTTGAAATTGATGTTGTCCGCCATCGCACTTTCGCACCTCTTACCCGTTCCTGTGGTCGTAGCGGGGGACTAGCGATGACCTCAGGGAGAGCAGGGGTTTCACAAAAACTGAAGCTAAAATCACTAACATAGATTTTAAAATCAAAGTGAAATTTTAAATTTATGCGTTTCACGAAGATCGATTGTAACTTAAAATTTAATTTTAATAGATTTTAGTTAAAATTACTTGTGCCTTGATGTGAGGTAACTATAGACTGGTTTCTTGTCGCTCGAGTCTATACCATACGTTCTTCATAGATCCCACGTACAGGATAATCTGAACGACAGACCCACGATGTTTGACAGGTCACCCTACTCCTTGTCACGTACAACCGGGGATTCGAAATCACGCCAGTTGACTCAATGACGGGCTTTATGATACAGCGCGCACGTGCTAACCATTCGCCCCCCCCCCCCGGCTACTTAGTAGTAGTAGGCCTATACTTCGAGGATTAGTTTCAAAGTTGTTAACTACTTTTGAAATTCGACCTCAGGGAGACCAAGTGTTTTAAAAACATTACATAAGCCTTGCGCACTAGTAGGCCGAATGGTGTCATTAAAGTCAATGACTTCAAACGTCATTATGTATGTAGGCCTAGTTCTAGTTAGACTGGATAAACTAGTCTAAATGACGCTAGGCTTCTATAGTCTATTAATTATACATTTCTATTGACTTGCATATGTATAAATACATATATCCAAGTCCATAGACGTCATGGGCGGAAAAATTGTGTTTCACGTGTTGATGTCTGTTTACCTTTTTCCTTTCGGAAGGGGAGATAACTACAAACTCGTTTCTTGTCGCTCGAGTTATGCCACATAGGATAATCGAGACACTATAGCAACAATGGGCCACGAGGTATTTCTGGTCACTGAGTCGAATGATAGCTGTCGTAGGCTGATTTTATACTGAGTCTGGATAATCAAGACACTATTACGACGATGGGCCACGTGCAGAATTCTTTTTTTGATTTTTTCTATTTCACTTATTTTTTTTTTTTAATTAAAATGTTATTTTTTTTATAGATTTTTTTAATCTTAAATATTTTATTAATTTTTTTTACATAGATTTTTTATTTTAAAAAGATTTATAGATTTTTTTAATCTTAAATATTTTATTAATTTTTTTTACATAGATTTTTTATTTTAAAAAGATTTTTTTTTTTCTTAAATTTTAAAAAGATTTCTTTTTTCTTTTTAATTTAAAAAGATTTTTTTTTCTTTTTAATTTAAAAAGATTTTTTTTTCTTTTTAATTTAAAAAGATTTTTTTTTTCTTAAATTTTAAAAAGATTTTTTTTTTATTTTGTAAAACAAAAGAAAAAAAAATGTTTCTTTTTTTTTACTTTTATTTTTTATGATTTTAAATGAAATACAAAAAATAACCCCAAAAACGCTATTGCGACCATGGGCCACCATAGACGTATCAGGGATGTTCTTTACACACCAATTGTAAATACGAATGTCGTGTGGTTTTATGAATCCACATAATTTTACTGTTTTTTACTCTGTTGTTTTCTGTATTGCTATTAGATATTAATCTTAACACATATTTTGTATTTTTATTTCATTTCATTATACGTGTATTACTTTTTTGAACAATGTCATATATTGTTACCAACAGCTTTATATTATATCATTTATGCAATATTGTTACAAGAGGCATGAAAGTATAGTTTCGGATTGTTTCATGATTGTTTATTGCTGTAATATAAAGAATCATTTAAAATGCATGGTGAAAGTGTGTGTCTGTAAAGCGTGTGTTTATGGCAGTTTAACATCCATTGTGAAATATGTTATTATGCAATTGTGAAGAATTTACTATGACTTCTGATTATCATAACAAATTGTACAGAGGTAGTTTAATTTCCCATTACCCAGTTAGATAATTTTTCTTTTGAAACTGTTTCAAAATTAATGAAGTATTATGAAGTATTTCATTTAGTTCATTTTATTTGTTATAACATGCTAGTCTTTCTAATTAAAATAAAAGTATATTTGAGAAGCTCTTTTAGTATCAAACGTTGATTTTAAAAAATATATATATAATATATTGGGTTGATTAATTTATTTAATTAATTATATATCTAATTTAATATTTATTAATTTAATTTAATTATTTGATAATTGAATTTGTATTGCATACATCCAATCTATTTTTCTTTTACTTGATTGTTTAAATGTACAATAAATAAGCTATTGCAAAATTAATATGGCTTGTATACTTTCTGAAGGAACAGTGTAGAGAAGACAATCATGGCGAACATTTTAATTTAATTAAAAAATATTCTGGAATTCAACGTGGATGTGCTGCATATAGTGACGTTATTATTAGATTTTGCATAATCCATATTACGACACATGGCACAATCAGGTAGCACACGATTAAAACATCTAAACTGACCACACAGTGAACACGTCTGCACGGGAGCTTCGTACCTTGCAGACTTCAATTAAATAAGTAATTGCGCAAAGTATCAGGTGTGGAGGATTTATAAGAATTACAGGAACACCAATACTGCACCGTGCGTTATATATACGGCCAAAAGAAAATTCGCGGAATTTAGTAAAATTAGTAAAAGATAGTTCACAAAATTCACGACATTGATCAGCAGTGAATATTCGCTAGTCTTCGCAATAACTCTGTGAAACAGATTGAAAATTCACGTCTGGAAATTTATAGGCCAAAGGTACCTTGACTCCATAACATATTTGGTTTTCTAGAAAATCATCAAAGTCTCGAGAATATTATGAGGTCATATTCTAATTACTCTCAAATTTCAAAATTCCCATTTCATCACATTACATGTATTATACGAACGGTTTAAACTGAGTTATTTCCCTTTAAACGGCAGTCCTCGTTTAATAAGCTTAATATTTTATTTAGTTGGTCACGTTAACTTCTCGTATCGTGGTGATTCGTGAATAGCATTCATCTACAGACCCGTCGGGACGAAATTCATATTGCAGGGCTGCCAGGAGAGCGATCCAAAATATGCCCCACCCACAACGACCCCTCCATTTGAGACGGGCATGCATAAATTGTGGTACGAACTATAGAAAAAGAATGGGAGTAGATTTATATTCTTCTCTGTGTAGGGGCCTACAGATGTTTATTCGTTTGTTTCCACGTTTATTTGTGGCTTTGTTCGCCATATAGGAAATCAAACGATCGAACTTATATATATATATTAAAAAAAAATAACATTATGTTAACCAGGTATATTTACAAGATATTTGATGGTGCTATTTATTTTGTGTTTGGTGCAGTATTTATTGATGAAATTTGCAATTAATGATTATGGCGTTATTTTAATGTTTATATACGCCGGGTAACACAGCTAGTAATAGATACAAAGTGTAAAATTTATTATCAGCTCACTAATTCTCTAAATCAAAACCATGGTCAATTTTCAATAAGGATATAAGATTTATTATGATGGAACCAATTATATGAACAATAATTGGATCTATCTTAGACTCAAAATGAAACATATTATTATCTAAGATACATTTACATTTCAATACAAACATCAATGGGCCTAATTTTGTGTCGGAAACTTTCCTTTATTATTTCGGTGGCTCATTGTGTAGGGCGCTAGTACACTAACCAGAATGTCCCGGGGTCGATCTCGGTGTTGGCCTATATAGAAAGTTCCTCGTGATTTTCCAGTGTATAAGTTTCCTTTTTTCAGTTGTGCAGGACGCATAGTCTGACAAGAAACAACGTCTACTCGTTTGGGTGCACACGGCTTACCCATAAAAGTACTATTGACTGTTGGAATTAGAAGAATAGGCGGAAACACCGCTGTCAGAGAAGAATGCCCTCATTGCACACTGCTTTGCGTATGCGCATCTTCGTTATCCCAGTTGGTGCAAAAAACAGCCCCTATTATTTAGGATATGTTATACATGTATATATAACATATACATATTTATTTTATGATCAGTAGTGGAATACCGCGTTTTATCAGTGAAATAAAAGTATTATTCCACTGGCTAGCAGTAGTCCATGTTGTTTTACCTAAAATGATTGTAAAATCATAAAATAAATAGAACATTTGTCGTTGATAACATATTTTATTTCATCTCTAAGCAAGAAAACGTTTATATTTTCACTACGCATTCGTGAAAATATAAGTTTTCTTGCTTCTCGATGAAATAAAATATGTTTTTCACTCTTAAACGAAAACATCCTCTATTTAATATAGCTAGGATTTTTTAAGCCTAACAAAATTTAGTTCACCAATTAGATAGGCTATTATTTATTCCTTTTTATACAAAAGACAAATATCGCTTATTATGAATCTTGTATTCTTACACTGTATGTTTGTTGGGTTAAACATTTAAAAATTATATGCAAAGTGATAAAAAAAAAACAATCACCAAAGGCGACGCAGGAATTTTGATCTGGAGACGATTCTGCTTGTGACGCAGTATCCACACATACGTAGCAATTACAGGTGCGCGTTTTCATTTTGCGCATTTAGTGTATGCGCAATCTACGTTAAATACGATTCTTATATCTAAGCGTTGGTTAAACGCTTACATTTATAAAAGAAAAAATATATCAACGTATCGTGGCAAAGAAATAAACTATGACTGGTTGTATATGTATGTTATAATAAGACAAAAGTTGATTATTAAAAAGTACGAAACTAAAATATGCTTATTTCCCCATATTTCCTAATTTAGCATGCAACCTCATTCAACATGGCGATCAAAATTTGGTCAGCAGAAGAGTGACGGAATTTAATTCACATCTTGTCGTGATGATATTTGTTTGCTTCTTGGTATTGGATTTGTTCTTGCTAACTGAAATATAATCGGAATCCTGGAAGATAAGTGCTAGCAGTAAATGTAGGTTGTTGACCACAAAGGCAAGCTGGAAAACATGTTGGTTAGTGCAATATCTTTTTTTTTTTACCGAATAAATATAATATGTAGCTTTGTAAGACTAGTGAAGGCCTGGCCCTTGTGACTAGTGTAATATCTAGATTTACAATGCAGTAAAGTCTAAAAGTAAAACTTGCATTTGATTCCACCCTATCTGTTTATCTTTTAATTTGTTTCGGTACGTGAAATCTATGACTATGAGAAATATTGATCAATTTCTACAAGCTTAAGTAAAAGTCAAAACACACTATCAAGACAAGGTTGTCACCTGCAGGCCCTGGTCCATATACATGTAGTATATACACAGTCACTTTGTAGACTACTAAAATTAATGTATTGATTATAATTTACATTGGGCCATGCAGTATATCAGATAAATTTTGAACATTAGACTTGATTATCACAAAGTATGAACCAAATATAAAATGAGGGTGACTACTGTCACCACAGCATGGGTGATAAAATGCAATTTGGCTAATGCTTACCACATAAGTTACCAATTTAGCAGTTTATAAGACTTAGTGTGACCCGAGTATAATATTTTGAAATGAAAAGAAAAATGTCAAGAAACAATGCAGCTGGATAGATTTGATATAGAAGAGATAGCATAATTGATTGTATTCATGACTTCCTGTATATTAATGGTGACATTTTGGGTCCCTCCTTTCAACTTAGTACTAACAGTTAGGCCTACATGTACTGTGTACTGTTTACATTACAAATTTTATGCCGTCCGAGAATGGAGTGGTTATTTGTTTTTTAGTGTAAACTGGTCAAACATAAGTGTGCCTACTAAGAACCATGCAAGTCTGCACCACTGAAGTGAGGTGGTCTTGGAACTGTTCTTGATACAAGTATGACATGTTTAAATTTTCATAGTGTAAATGCTATCTGGTGATTCTGGTCTTTGACTCTTTTTCTTGCAAACTTGTAATACCAGCTATGCAAACTATTTATTAATGATATTACTTCGCTGTCGTCTCCTTAACTTAATCAAGATGAGCATCAAATCATTTCTTAATCTTTTTTTCCGTAATTCTCAATAACATTAAGAAAAGGAAAACAAATATAAAATGAACGCCTGTGTTCCACATTTAGCGTGCCAGGCACTGTTCTGAGAACTGTTCTTGTATATCCATGTAAACATGCAATTTTTAAAATTTTGTCGCAGCCTGAAACAGTTCTGAGTACGGTACGCTTATTGCGACCAAGTGTAGACGCAGCTTTAATGAGTACTATAGGGGTGATGATTTTCCGTTTCAGAAAATAGCAAATTCCGTTTTAAGTATTTTTAATTCCGTTATTTTCCGTTTCAGAGCTGACCATATTCCGTTTTTTCGAGATAAAATGTTATTTTATGAATAAATGAATAAAACATCTTAAAATGCCCTTTATTACAAAACGGATCATTTTAAACCAATGATAACAAATGTTGAATTGTGAATGACTTGTAATGTTCAATGACTAGTTATTCTTTAAACCTGTTTCCCGAATTAAATAACAGAAAATTACATCTTGTGAGCTCGTTTCATCTTTTTAGCAGACGAAGCCATTTTTCTCAGCTGCTAGGTGTAGTCGCGATTTATCCAGACATCTTCGTAGTTACTACCGTTTCTTCGAGAATAAGGGCTGGATTCACAAGGCTACGGTATATTTCTGATGTCACGTGGTTAATGCGGATAAACACGAGTCACGAGCCCGGCAGTAAAATAAGAAGTAAATGAAACGATTTTTACTTTTATGAAGTGACAGAAGTTTTTTTTAAGACATATATATACATTACAATGTTTAATTCAAGTTAAACTACAGAGTAATTTTATAATGGGATACATGAAAGACGGGTTTTCGTTTCGATTAAAATTATGATTCCTAAATGAAATGATGAAATGAAAGTAGCAAAATACTAAAATAGACAGTAACAAAACCACGCGATATCATTCAATATTTCCGATTTTTATGAATAAAAAGATGAAATACTTTGATAACTGCAAAATTATTTTGAGTTTGTGTTTAGTATCAGCAAATATCGGCTTTTCCGTCTTTTTCCGTGTGAGATTTCAAATTCCGTTTTGAGTGGACAATTCCGCGATTTCCGCGTTTTTTCCGCGATCACGGAAAATCATCACCCCTAGTACTATGACTATAATTTTCAGAAATGCAGCATTAAGTTATTAAATATGACCAATTTATGACAACAGAACCACCTTTTTGTATCATCTAGCTGTATAAATTCCATTATCGTCATACCGATTATGTTTTTTTAATACAACTAGTGCTACAGATTAAAATGTAACCAAAAGATTTTCTTTATTGTAAACAGAAATAAATTGATGCTTTGATGCTGGCCATCTTAGGGTCAGACTACAAATTCTGTATTTCTGGGAACAGAGACTTGAAGGGAATAAGCTACTGCTACTGTGATTTTTTTTTAACCTGCTGTATGACAACAAGGAAGAATCTCTTTTATCTTATGAATCGTAAAATTTTGATACTAATTTGAAAAAAACGTTACGAAACTGTTTACAAAGGCATCATCAATTCCAGAAATAAGAAATCACAGGTTGATTTGCACAATTTATTTTTCTTTTGATTTCAATTTTTGTGATGTTCTAAAAATCTGTAGTTTAGAGATAAAACAATGTAGGAGTAACCTGGAGGTCCCGTGTTCGATCCATATGCGGGCTTTTTTAGTGTGGTTCCCTTTGTCAATGGTGCAGGACATGGGTCCTGGCAAGGGACAATATATAATCATTCGGAAGGTACGGAAAACTGAGGTCTCGTGAACATATTGGCGTGCACATAAAAGAACCTTTGGCAGTTAGAATTCGATATAAGAGCAGGTCATAGCGCAGCTGTCCGGTCAAAATTTCCCTCATAGCAAATCTTATTTCAAATGCCCGTTTTCATAAGCCTAGTTGGAGCAGAACCATAGGACATTAAACCCCATTTCATTTTTATACGCCCACATGGAAATGTCGTATATTGTCGTCATCCCCCCCCCCCCCCCCCGAATTTCTGTTAATTTCATCTGGAGTTATGACCCTTATTTCACATTGTTGCACTTTGTGAACACTCCAATATAACAGTTATCATCCGATCTGTTTGAAACTTATATGCATCATGTAAATTAGTAAAACAAAGAAGCAATTTTCAATAATTACTTCTAAGAGTTATTGCCTTTGTTTATCTAAATACACTGGTTACCCGTCGCACAACGAATCCATTTTAAAGTACTTGTTACGGTTTTTAAAATTCTACAAAATCAAGCACCTTTGTTTGTACTTATGTGATCTTATCTCCTATCGTCAGTCAACTAGAACCACCAGATCTTCATCAGGAATACAACTTTTTGAGCCAAGATACAAGCAGGAGTTTTATGGCAAGCAAGCGTTTTCTATTGCCGCCCCTCGTCTTTGGAACGCCACACCTTTAAACATTTGTAATGCACCATCACTTGAATCTTTTAAATCCCTACTAAAAACTCATCTTTTTAGCATAGCATATTATCAGTTTTAATTATTATATTTGAGTCATTTAAGCAATTTTAAATTTTTATTTTATTCTTAGACTTTTTTCTGAATTATTTCTTTTAATTGTGGATCTACTTTTAACGTAAATGTTCTTTATATACGTGCATCTTTTTTTTTTTTCTTCACGATGCTCTGTGATATTTGTTTTTCATTTTATGTTGTACCGCCTATTGAGATAGATCTATGTTGTTGTAATTGGCGTTAAATAATAAACATTATTATTATTATTAAATGTTGAACCTTGTAAACGCTCGAATGATGAAAGGTATCATCCGATCTGTATGAAATTTATATGCATCATTTAAATTAGTGAAACAAAGAATCCTATTGAATATCAGTAATTTCCAATTATTACTTCTCGAGTTATGGGCCTTGTTTTAGTTTGTGGAACAATGTGAATGCTTGAACGACAAGTCATCATCTGATCTGTACGAAATTTATATGCATTATTTAAAGATACATTATGGGAGATTAGATAAAGAGCTGACAATTCTCGCTATAATAGTTAAAAACTAGATAATGTAAAGGTAATTTGTTGAAAATTTCAGTCAAATTGATCCACTATGAACTGAGATATCAGCTTTGTAAATTTCCGCCTAGCCTCGTTCATCATTACTAAAGTTAGTACGTTAAAAAGCATAGTCTCGATTATCCAATGTTTTGATTTAATTATCAATGAGCGTTTGCAGCATATAGGATTCTAATCCAGTCGATATCGAAGGCTAGCCTTGACATTGAGAGTTGATTATGGTCTGGATAAGTTAATTAATGTCTAATTAATAATTTAAATAACATTTCAGGCCTAAAGAAAGACCTGCGATAGGCAGATTTAGCTTTTGCATAATGCATGTTTAAATTAGTAAAACGAAAAATACTGTCAAATTTCAACAATTTTTGTATATTACTTCCGAAGTTAAGGCTCTTGTTTCATTTTGTAGCACCATGTGAACTCTCAAAGGACGAAAATTTTAATCTGATCTGTATGAAATTGTTTTGTAAAAGCCCCCCCCCCCATTACCTACATGTACAAAAGATTATATAAGTAACAACAACCCTTGTTGACCACTTGGACGATGTATCTGCTGTGTACATATGTTTCTATGCATTGTAATCTGTGCGTCATAAGACTAAGAGGCCTAGTTTTGAGGATTGATATAATATTTCTGTGCCTGCTTTAAGATAGCATTGTCATACCGACCCTTTATAATTTGTACACATCTGTAATATTAATGTGAAGGCTAAAATACAGTAATGCAACTTGCATTACTATACCCACTATTCAGTCTAAAATCAATCCTGATGAATAGACATTTTATGAATCACCCTTATAAAACATGCTTTGATTATATCCTCTTTCCTCTACTACTGTGGCTGATTTTTCATTATCAATTCTTGCAATGACTTGATTATGTTTCATTTTGTGTAATAGTCATTTTAAGGTGACACTCCGTGGTAATCATGGTAATTATTCATG